GTAAGAGGACATTGATTATTTTATCCAAAATGATTTTGGTGGAATGAAAAGATGAAGCCACATTGCAGTGGTTGCTCTCAGTGAGTAGCCACAGGCAACTGAAGAGAAAACTGTGACTATAGTCTAAGCTTTGGTGAAATCTGGATAAGGAAGAAAAAAAAGGATTAAATCGTAACTAATAGGAACTTAAGATCAAGGAGAGATTATTTGGGGATGCTCGTGTGAGGTTTTTCAGTTTTTAATTCACATGTCCTGTCCTTGCTTCCTCACGTGTGCTGTGCGTTGCAGCCAGATTTCTCTTTGATAGCTAGTCAGCTAACACGATGTCCACAATACTCACTCCTCCCAAGACAAGAGTCAAGAAAAGGTGTATCCTACAGGGTTCATGACGATGGGGTATTTCAGGGACGAATGTCAGAAAGAGCTAAAAAATTTAAGTGTACAAAATAGAAACAAATATGTTTAAGACATTTCTTCAGGAGGAATGATTACGGTAGCTAACTCTGCAGAAGCTTCTCCACTATAAAAAGAAGAAAACAATCGTTCTGCAAACTGTATTTGAAGATAGGCACATTATGTATGTGCAGCCATAGAAACAAACATGTACTTAAGACAAGACTAGCAGAGGCACCGGGGGCGGGGCTCAACTGGCTGAGCGTCCGACTTGGGCTCAGGTCATGATCTCATGGCTCATGAGTTCAAGCCCCACGTCGTCGGGCTCTGTGATGACAGTTCAGAGCCTTGAGCCTGTTTCGGATTCTGTGTCTCCCTCTCTCTCTGCCTCTCCCCTGCTCATGCTCTGTCTCTCCCTCAAAAATAAATAAACATAGGGGCGCCTGGGTGGCGCAGTCGCTTAAGTGTCCGACTTCAGCCAGGTCACGATCTCGCGGTCCGTGAGTTCGAGCCCCGCATCAGGCTCTGGGCTGATGGCTCGGAGCCTGGAGCCTGTTTCCGATTCTGTGTCTCCCTCTCTCTCTGCCCCTGCCCCGTTCATGCTCTGTCTCTTTCTGTCCCAAAAATAAATAAACGTTGAAAAAAAAATTTTTTTAATAAAAAAAATAAAAAAAAATAAACATTAAAAAAAAAAGACAAGACTAGCTTTATCATATTAAAGTATAAAGCCTCCCTTGCACTTCTGAATCCACTTATTTTCAGCATCAATAGTATTAAATAAATGCACAACCTATTATTAACTACAGAATAAAAATATGTCTTTTAGGGGCTCCAGACCCAACTGCAGTGTGGGAGTGTTCTCCCACACAGAACACCAAAGCAATTCTCCCAGCAGGGTGTCCAAGAAATCAACTCCCTTCTGGCACTATCTACCCAGAGACAACATCGGTTTCAACAAATTAAAGGTTCAGTCCTACAAGGCTACCCTCACTTCAGATGCCGGTTACCAACCCCAGGCAACCTATGCTTCTGACTGTCTGCCTGTCTATAGACACAAAGTTCCAACGACCTCTACCTTCGGTTCAATTAATTTGCTAGAGAGGCTCACAGAATTGTGGGAAATACTTAAGTTTACCAGCTTATGAAAGGATACGATAAAAGCTACGCATCAACAGCCAGAAGAAGAGATACATGGGGCAAGGTATGGGGAAATGCATTTCTTATAAATCATAATCATTTATGCATTATATGCATATGCATCATATGCATTTCTTATAAATCGTAATACTGCAACATGGTGTAGTTGGACTCACAGTCAAGATTCATGGTATTTTCATAAAAGGCAAAGAATATGTGTAAGGTAAAATACCTTGAGAAAAAGATCAAAATTATATGCTCACATTTTCCCACTTCTTCCCATTTTATTTACATCACGGTTTTTAATACAAAAACTTAAAAAATATATTGTTCGCTAATGGGAAGTAACCAGGGAATTTTAGTGGCCAACACCAGAATTCATTCACCATTTGTTATGTGCCATGCAGGTTCTACTGATCAAAACATGAAAATTGCTCCCCTTACGGTGCTCACTGATGGAATCATCTAATATATGGATACATATAGAGCCTAAATTGCCTAAAATCTGACAAGCATACCTGAGCTTAAATTTATTAAATAAACTGATGGAAATGGACGGGGTAAGACAATAAGGGAGGGAAACAGGAAGCAAATATCAATGAGCATGGTCAGTGACTTTCAGTTCCAGCTTCCATTTATTTCATTAATTATTTATTCCTATCACTTATGTAATATCTTGAAAGATCTGATTGGTAATGTAACTCCAGAAAGGAAGACAACATTTAGAGTGATTGTCTACTACTAAGATCAAAGGTCAAAGACTATAATCACTCTCTTGCACACTCACATTGACTACCAAGACCTTCCTATCGAGTTCGCTTCACAAAACTACAGCCATGGTTGAAGTCAACGCTCCACCTACTCTGCACCTACACCCATGCGGCTGAACAAGGACGGAGAACAACCACACTCAGAATTCAGAACCATGAACATCAGGTGGGCCACTTACTCAGCACCACAACCATATTTCCCTAATTGCTTCCTGTTCCTAGTCTTTCTGATGATTACTTCGCATCTTCTCTCTCTTCAAACCAATAAACACCGTCTCCCTCATCCTCACTTTTAGCTGTTTTTGACCTTGCTTCCTATTGTCTTAACTAAGGGAGTAAGAATCAGCATCTGCGCCCCCATAGTCCGCCTTCACACCTGTTGCTACAGACAACTACTCCTGCACCCCATTCCCTCTCACCTAATCAAGGACATTGTGCCAGTAAGTCTCAGTCTTTTTTCTACATCCTCAATTTTTCACATCTGTAATTCTTCTCATCTTCAAAAAAAAAAAAGAGCGAGAAAAAAGATGCTGCTTTTCTTCACAGCTACCACCTCATTTCTTTGCTCAACATCCAACAATACTCCTAAAAAAAAGTTGTCTATATTCCCGTCCTCCAATTTTCTTTTAAATCCCTTCCGGCAGGACTTTGACTCTATTGCTCTCTCACAAACTTCACCAATGAACTCTCCATTGCAAAATCCAGTGGTCAATTTCAGGGCCCTTCTTTCTTGATAGGTCTGCTTCATTTGACCCCACTGATCATTCTCTCCCCTTTTAATATTTTCCTCACCTGGCCTCCGGGACACAATCATCTCTGAGGTTTTTCCTTCTCCCTCACTGACGGCTCCTTCTCTGCCTCCTTTGCTGCTTCCTCCTCTTCAGCCTTTTACTAAGAACATAAAGGCTCCATCTTTGTTCTCTTTTCTTCTCTATCTGTACTCTCTCCTGAGTAATCTCAGCCATTCTCAAGGCTTTAAATACCATTTAGATGCCAATGACCCCATATGTACTAGTCCAGACCTCCCTCCCCGAACTCATATAACTAAATTTTTTGCCCAACATCTCTCCACTTTGATGACTAGCATGCAGATTAAGTTTGCAATGTCCAAAATGTTAACTCCTGAGTTTCCATCCCTACTGACTAACCACGGCTTTCCTGATTTCAGTTTACGTAAATCGTCGCCTTCCAGTTGTTCATGCCAGGAGCTATGGAGTAATCCTTGATATCAATTTTTCTCCGACTCTACATTTAATCTGGAAGGAAATCTTGTTCAGTTGACCTCCACTGATTAAAATGTATTTTAAAATATATCTCCATACTCCTCTCATTGCCACCACCCTGGTCCAAGCCATCATCTCCCTGAATTACTGCAACAGCCTGTTAACTGGGCTCCCTGATGCCATTCCTGTCGTCTACAGGCTATTCTCAGGGCCAGTATAGCCCTTTCAAAGGCCAATTCAATCATGTCAGCCCTCCGCTTGGAACACTGCAATAGGTCCCAGCTTTCCTCAGAGAAAATGTCAGAAATATTACCATGTGATATCTCCCCTGATTATTTCTGTGCCCTCATCAGCCCCTCCTTCCCTCACCCCCATTCAACTACACTGTCCTCTTTACTGTTGATTGAACAAGCCAGGCAGAGATTCGCTATTCAAGGAATAGCAAGATGGTCAGTGTACCTGGGCCACAGTGAATAACGGAGAGGCTGGAGATAAAGCCAGGGAGACAGATGGAAATCAGATCAGGTAGAGCTCTGGAGCCTACAATAGGGACTTGAGATTCTATTGTAGAAGAGATTAAAAAAAATTCACTAAAGAGTCTTCAATAGTTGAATTGTTAATCTGGTTTGAAAAGATCTCTCTTAGCCTGGTTAATTTTACGTGGGCAAGGTAGAATTTTCATAAACTGAGTGTCAGAGAAGAGGAAAGGGGAATTAGGACGCTTATACAGTAGTCCAGACAAAATATAACAGTGACCTAGACCACAACAATCAAATTCAAAGTCTAATTTGAAGGGAAAACCGAAAGGATCTGTTGACAGAGCTGTAAAAAAAAAAAGAAAAATTCAATTATTTTAAAATTGTCTAATATTTTAATGAAAGCATGACCAGACTGAAAACCATCTTAAATTAGCTGAGAAACTTCTCATGATGCTAAGAATAAACATGCAACGTCATTAAATCAACATCAGCATAAACCCCGTATAATACCTTATTTCTATGGATTTAAAATAAGGAGTAATTGTAAGAAGCATAAAAACTTTTTCATAAACACTAGCTATATATAGGTAAAGAAAAGGACGTTAAGCTTGAAAATAGTGTGAAGTATGAGTCAGGAAAAAATATATTAAATAATGCTTTCTTTCTGAATATTTATTATCCATAAACTGGTCTTGTGTGAATTCAATTATTCAAACATTTATAAGCCTGAATAATTTAAATGGTTTTGGGACAAAAACCGGGATGACAGGTATTTTAATTGGAGAAAACTTATCTTGACCATGACCAAGTTACCAGTTCACAAAAGAGACATATTATTGAAATGCTGTTTAATTCTAGGCAACAGGTCAAAGACTTTCTCTACTGCTAGGTCACCTGTATAAATCTACCCTAAGTCAGCAGTGACAGAAATGCTTTACTCTGACCTAACACATTTAACAAAATAAAAACAGAACTAAAATATTTTTCAAACACCTTACTCTGGCAGCAGAAGCAAAAGAGTCAGGGCCATGAGCTGCATTTCTTATGCCATCGGTTCCAAAGAGGGCTCTCAGGCTTCCAGGAGCATCGGTACGTGCCAGACCAGAGTTCGCAGGTCCGAGCAGTCTTTTCCATTCACATATAGCATCGTCTCTTAAAATCTCCATGGCAATAATAGGACCACTCGTAATAAACTGGATCAGCTCGCTATAAAACAGGTAAAAGACTGATTTGCTTCATCTTTCTGTCAACCTGTGTATCTCTACTCACAAGAATACATTACAATTGGAGTATTTCAATACACACATGGATATTATGATCTCAGAACTATCGGATACAGTGAATTCTACATAGGCAAGATAAAATTTTCATAATTGAGTGTCCTCCAGTAGCCTGAGCCACTACACATCGCTACTGGTGTCAAATCATTTACTGTCAGCAAAGAAAAAAAAAAAAAGCCAATGTTGCGCTTCATTAAGACTACTTCATTGACTTGAAATGCCTATCTATGCTTTTCCCATTGCTCTGAAAGGTACAGAAGGATTTCCCTTTTTATTTTCACGTGGTTTGCCACCACAGTCCAATCATACTTGTAATATAGAAAGTGATGAGAGTGATGTCTTCTAACATATTTCCGGTAAGAATTCATTTACTTTTGTGTGGATTAGGATTCAAAGAATGACAGTAAACTTGCAGTCAATAAACACGGAGTTGGGCTAGTGATAAGGAAAATGAAATCAACAGGCCTTGAAAAAATATCCCCCTTCTGACTATAAAAGCTACTCTGGGATATTCCCATCTTAAGTTTTAAAGAGTACACATGGGTTCTTGATGAAAACTCCAGCACTGAGTCACAGCACCCCAACCAATAAAAACAATATCTCATTTCCCTTCTCCGCTCCCGTACGTGGATGAGGCAGCAATGGCAGGTTTCACATGGAAATAAGTGACACCATTCCTCCTACTGTTTGGGGCAGGGACAGAATACTTTTTAAAGCAAGTGCATGTTTCTCTCTCTTCTAAACTATGAGAGAGGCCAGAACCCTCTAGAAGAAAAGCACATGGTGTGACAAACACTTTTGTACCGATTAACTCTTGACTCTTTTACATGCTTCCTTCCCTCATGAATCATGTTATGAGTTAACTCCCTTCCTTTTTAAATCATTTCAATTCATTTTGAAAAGGATTTCTAAAAAATAGTATGTATGAAGAAGTATTCATACGCTCTGTCCTTTAAAAGGCCCCATGGGGGCGCCTGGGTGGCGCAGTCGGTTAAGCGTCCAACTTCAGCCAGGTCATGATCTCACGGTCCGTGAGTTTGAGCCCCGCGTCGGGCTCTGGGCTGATGGCTCGGAGCCTGGAGCCTGTTTCCGATTCTGTGTCTCCCTCTCTCTCTGCCCCTCCCCCGTTCATGCTCTGTCTCTCTCTGTCCCATAAATAAATAAAAACGTTGAAAAAAAAAAAATTAAAAAAAAAAAAAGGCCCCATGACCTCTTCATACATATTCTTCTAGGACTTAGTAGCCAAAAACAATTAGATTTAAGGAGCCCAAATCAGGGGAACAAATCCATGTTGATACATTCGGTAAGCACATAACAATTACTTAACTACAAATCAGAATATTCAATGATACCCTGGCGTCAAGAAACTTATCATCTAATGTCCTGTTATTACAGAATTCCTCAAAACACATAGTGAATAAGCCTATAACCTATAACCACACCCTATAATGGGTGTCGCATGTTAATAATGCAGAGAAAGGTGTGCCTGGTCATAAAAAATACTTCTTCATGAGACTATTTCCAATTAATGCAGGTACATCTTTTGTTGTGTCTTTCATAATACCAGAAAACTCGTTAATTCACCCAGTTAATAAAATTTACTGCATACTAATTACATATAAGACATTAAACCAGGTGCTGCAATATAATGCCACAAACATAAAGCAAAGCTATAATAGTTTCCAAGAAAACTGTATATTCTTAAATTTTTTTTTTAATGTTTATTTATTTTTGACAGAGAGAGAGAGAGAGCGAGCATGGGCGGGGAAGGGGCAGAGAGAGAAGGAGACACAGAATCCAAAGCAGGCTCCAGGCTGCGAGCTGTCATCACAAGGCCCGACGTGGGGCTCGAACTCACAGACTGTGAGAGCATGACCTGAGTTGAAGTCAGACGCTCAACCGACTGAGCCACCCAGGTGCCCCAAGAAAACTGTATATTCTAACAAGGCCTGGAAATATTTTAAACTGCTTGATTTAAAATAATCTATAACATAATTTTCTATTATACAATTAAAGGAAAAACACTATCATATGCAGGATGCCAAGCAGTGTGTTTATTATAGCAGCCTGACTAATATCCTTCTTTATTACAAATGTAAGCACTTTGGGGCACCTGGGTGGCTCAGTCGATTAAGTGCCCGACTTCGGCTCAGGTCATGATCTCGCAGTTCGTGGGTTCAAGCCCTGTGTCAGGCTCTGTGCTGCTAGCATGGAGCCTGGAGCCTGCTTTGGATTCTGTGTCTCCCTCTCTCTCTGCCCTTCGCCTGCTCATGCTCTCTCTCTCAAAAATAAATAAACATTAAAAAAAATTAAAAATCTCTTTTTTTTCTTCCCCTCCCCCATGGTCTTAAGTTTCTCAAGATCCATATAAGAGTGAAAACATATGGTACCTGTCTTTCTCTGTATGACTTATTTCCCTTAGCATAAGAGACTCTTAAAAAC